GAATCGTGTGCTAGGCTAGGACCTGGTGAGTGATGCTGGAACAAGCAGCCACATCACAGACTCCATGCTTCTATGACTGGCTTGGGGACAAGTGGCTGGAGCTGCCAGGCAGAAAAGGACCTGGGGTGTTGGTGGACAGCAGGATGCCCATGAGCCAGCAATGTGCCCTTGGAACCAAGAAGCCCAATGCCTTCCTGGGGTGGATGAGAAGGGGTGGTTGTAGGGCAGAGAGGTTCTCCTGCCCCTCTGCTCTGCCCTGCTCACACCACAGCTGCAATCTTGTGTCCAGTGCTGGGCCCTCAGCTCAAGAAGGACAGGAACTGCTTGAAAGAGTCCAACAGGGCCACAGAGATGCTGGAGGGAGTGGAGCATCTCCTGCTGAGGAGCGGCTGAGGGAGCTGGGGCTCTTGAGCTTGGAGCAGAGGAGACTGAGGGGTGCCCTCCTTCATGGAGATCCATTTGGAAAGGGCAGTGTCAGGAGGAAGGAGCCAGGCTCTGCTCTGGGATGTCCAATGCCAGGACAAGGGGCAATGGTCCCAAGCTGAAGCACAGGAGGCTCAAGCTGAAGATGAGGCCAAACTTGGTGAGGGTGAGGGTGGCAGAGCATGGCCCAGGCTGCCCAGAGAGGTTGTGGAGTCTCCTTGTGTGGAGACACCCAAAGCCCTGGCCGTGTTCCTGTGTGACTGCTCTGGTGATCCTGCTCTGGCAGGGGTTGCACTGGGGGAGCTTTCCAGGTCCCTTCCAACTCCTCATATTCTGTGATTCTGTGATGGTACCCGGGGCACCTCAGAGGTGAATGTGAGCGTGCAATTTAGACACAGGCTTCCTCTGTGTAACCCCTCCTAACACAATCTCTTGGGATGAAGGGCTGGGGAAATCTTGACATGATTCTGGTTGGCTTCCCTTTCTCTTACAGGGCTTCTCTGTCACAGCAGCAGTGTCCTTGTTGACTTGCTGAATTGGTTAGTGAAAACTCGCTGTGAAATAGGAAGCTTCCCTATGTGTGTACACAGTTAAGTCTTCCAACTACTGTAAAGCAGTAATATTTCTGACCTTTTCTGTTCAATTTGACAACGCTTGTTTACAGGCAGTAACAGAATATAATGTAGTACAGTCTTTGCTGGATTTACAGTGTTCAGTAGGACTGAATGCATGCTTTCTTAGATCTCCCAAATGTAACAGTTAAGATAACTGAGCTTTCAGTGGGATGATGATTGAAGCAGAAATGAGTAAAGCAATTAACAGTGTGTGATTCGGTTTGAAAATCAATACAGATTTTATTGAGCCAGAGGAAGAGCCAGAAGAGGGGTTGCTAATTCTGTAGGTCTGAATCAGCAAGATATGTAAAGAGTGCATCCACTTAACATAAATTCACCAGAGACCATTTAAAAAAATCAATAACTAGAGCATTAAGGCCAGGTTTACAGGAAACTGCAGGAGAATCATTCAGGCTGGCACCACAAAATATTGAACACTGAGATGCAATGGCAAGGAGCTGCCTAAGTTCAGTATCCTCAGGAGTGGACTTCAGAGCTGCCAGCCCCTTGCAAACGGTCCAGATGTGGAAATGCCTTCTAAGCTCAAGAGAATGACAGGAGATAACAACCAGACATTCTCCAGAGCCACCTGTCCTGGGTGTGTATCAATGTGCCTAGACACCAGCCTTTTGAATGCACACTTTGTTGGCCATAGCAGTGGATTTTTAAGAGGTGGTTCAGCTGAAGGTTGCTAGAGTTACCACTTTTGCTTTACACTTTTCAGCAGCGAGGATGTCAGTGTTTGGTACCCTCCTGGATGCAGCTGGGACTTCTAGCTTGAGATAACTGGCTCTTTTATCTAAGCTCTGCTATAAGGATGTTGTTTTCAGCATCAGTAGAGAAATAATTAGACTGAAAAGTTTGTTAGTTTGTTACAATTTGTTAATTGAACCACTGTATCTGTTTGTTTTATTGAACAGCAAGCCTTACGTATTTGCAGAATCACAGTGCTGTGTAACATCGCTCTGTGAAGTACCTGGCTGTGGTAGACACTCCTAGAAATGCCAGCAGATCATTGTATATTGTATTTGCATTTATTTTTCTATCAGCCAAAAGTATGCAGCTGAGATGACAATGCACTCTCTTGTTTGTTCACATTGAATCCTAACCAACTGGTGGAAAATACAGTTGTGATTTTATACGGAAATGAGAGAATTCACCCAGTAATTGGGCATCCTTGGAAGGCCATGAGCTGGGAGGCAGGACACACTTGCACTGTTACAGAGGTCTGAAGTTACAGTTGGAGGTGATTCACACACTCCTGAGTTTTCATTGCTTCCCTTCCATTTTGCAATAGTAGTATAAGTCCACAGTTTGGGTGTCTATTTAAGGTATTAACCGTGTTGAGACTCAGTGATAGATGCCGGGTGTGATTCTGAAGCCAAATGTGTAACTGCATCAATATTGCTCACACACTTTTCAGCGGATGTAGGTTTGAGTGAGCAAAAGTAATCACCTTCTGTTTTGCCTGCCCAGGCACCATAGCAACTGAAAAGCTGTGCTTAAAATTATCACTGGTTTTTCTCCCTATCCCTTTGTTCCATATGGTGCAGCCTGTCAAACTGCCTTAACATACAGCTCCACGGGTGCCAGCTACCAGTGTGTGAGGAAATGAAATGTGCACAGGATTTGGTGACTGATGCTGGGTTTCATGAGCTGTCTGCTTCATCAGTTGGCATGCCCTGAGACAGCAATGCCCGTGGCACAGCATGGCTTTCTGCAAGGTGAGACTGTGAACTGTCTCCCATGAAAGCATGCTGCATTGCTGTCTGCTGGTGGTGCTGGGGAAATAATCCCAGAATCACAGAATATGAGGAGTTGGAAGGGACCTGGAAAGCTCCCCCAGTGCAACCCCTGCCAGAGCAGGATCACCAGAGCAGTCACACAGGAACACGGCCAGGGCTTTGGGTGTCTCCACACAAGGAGACTCCACAACCTCTCTGGGCAGCCTGGGCCATGCTCCATAACCCTCACACTCACCAAGTTTGGCCTCATCTTCAGCTTGAACCTCCTGTGCTCCAGCTTGGGACCATTGCCCCTTGTCCTGGCATTGGCCATCCCAGAGCAGAGCCTGGCTCCTTCCTCCTGACACTGCCCTTTCCCAATGGATCCCCAGGAATGAGGGCACCCCTCAGCCTCCTCTGCTCCAAGCTCAAGAGCCCCAGCTCCCTCAGCCGCTCCTCAGCAGGAGATGCTCCACTCCCTCCAGCATCTCTGTGGCCCTGCTGGACTCTTTCAAGCAGTTCCTGTCCTTCTTGAGCTGAGGGCCCAGCACTGGACACAAGATTGCAGATGGGGTCTGAGCAGGGCAGAGCAGAGGAGACGCCCCGAGGTCCTTTTCTGCCTGGCAGCTCCAGCCACTCGTCCCCAAGTCTGTAATGAATGCAGTAATGCCTCATTAAGTGAGGAGCCGCTCTGGTGGCATCAGTAGTAGAATCTGTTACTTGAGAGGAGGAGGAGATCGTACTTGAAACAGCAGTTAAAGATTTGACCATGCTGGCAGATGAAGCAGGTCCTGGTAGACTTGTCAGGACTGTGAAAAAGGTTGTCTGGATTTAGATTATTTTATTTTTAGGCACCTAAATAAATAATATAACTTCAAAACAGCTGAGCAGCCAGCAGATTTCACTGACTATTTATTTTGACTATTTTATTAGACCTTTGGTTTGTTTGCACACTGTTTTTCAAACACTGGGAGCAATCCTTTGATGTTTCCCATTACTTGAAAACCTCCAGCGTACCCCTGCACCACTGGTGAGAAGAGTAGCTCGAGCTGGGAGTTGACAGAGCTGCATATTCTGCAAATCTCTTGACTTTGCTATTTACACCCTGTGTAAAATGTGATGTGGTAGCAGCAGCGCATTGCCTTGTGTGACGTACACAGGACCATGAAATAAAATAGTGCTGCTACACCCACTTTGCATCACACAAGATGATGAACACCTGCATCAATACAGTCTTTTTTATTAAAACTAAAGCTTTCTTAGCCACTGTTGAGCCCATTAAAAAACCAGCTTTTCTTCTGATCAGACTATTCCTTGAAGAACTTGAAGAGTTGTTTCTCCGCAGCCCAGATCCTTCACGGTTCTCTCATTGCACCCCCAGCTCTGGTACCAAGATCTGATGGTGAAAGCAGTGCAGTGCAGCAGCAGTGTGCTGGCCAGCAAGCCCAGAACTGGTCTCCAGAGGGACACTGGAAGTGCTAGGTCTGCTGTGGGGTGTGCTGCTACGTTACAGTGTACGTCACTCGTCCCAGCCAATTCACAGAGTGACTGTGAGCCTGCAGTAGATGAGAAGTCAGTATTTGTATGCCATGCATTAAAAAGGCCAGGGAAGGCTTATCATCTATAAATGTCATAATTTGATTCACTGAAGCAAAAATGGTCGTCATCTATAAATAAGATAATCTCATTCAGTAGAGCCATTGTGATGCTATTTTACAACAGGACTGAGAGCCATTTCTATTGATCACTTCAAGTCGATTGTGTTGTTGCATACAATTGGTACGAAACATCACCCCATCGCTTTTATGACTCTCCTGCATCAGTACACATGAAATGTTGTTCTGTATCATTGCGTATTTGTTTAATCAGAGTAATATTTCATCTGCCTCATTGCGGTGATAATGTGATGAGAACAAACTCAAATTGCTGACAATGATCAACCCGTTCATTTCTGATTGAAGAGCGAGGTGAGGGATTTAGACTTTTTTTAAAGCTCACGAAGATTCGCTCTCTTTTCTAAACATTAGTTGTTACAGAAAGAAAAGAGAAGTCTTCGCTTTAGGCAGAAACCTCTTTTGGCACAGAATTCACTTACAAGTTTCAGCTTTCTGTTCTTGAGAAGAGCTGGTAGAATTGGCTATGGGGTTTTGCATCTTCTGCTTCATTTGCCTTCCTAAGGACTCAGTGTAGAAGATCTTGCTTTCTCCAAGCCTGACAATAGTCCCAAAATCCTAAGGAAATGGACTTCTCTGTCTGCGCTTCAGTAATGAGAGCAAATGCGACTGCATACCGCTTCAGGGAGAGAGAATTCAACAGCTCCTCGAATTTGGATGATGCTTCTTTGTACTATTTGCTGGAGGAATGGGCTCTCCACCCATCAGGCACAAACGTGAAGATGTTTTTAATCCCTCCAGTTGTCTGCCTTGTGGCAGGCATCCTCATCAACCCTGTCATCCTTTTTGTGATCTTCTCTAGGTTTAGGATCCGTCAGGAAACAAGGTACCTGCTGCTGGGAAATGCTCTGCTCTCTGATCTGATCTACCTGGTGTTCTACACCGTGTCAGCTGCTCTCAACACTGCACACGTACATCTCCCGAAGGAAGCTTGTGTCCTCCTGTTATTTTTGCTGGCCGTGGCTTACTGTGGAGGATTGTTCACAGCTGCTGCAATAGTCTTGGACACGTACATAGCTATTCTGTTTCCTTTGCGCTACATCACTATTTTGCCTCCTTCACGAACTAAGAAAATTATTGTGTTGCTATGGATGTGTTCTGGGGCTTTCCCTGGGATTTTCTTCTTGGTGCTATCGAGTACTCACAGCTTTGTGCCCTGTGTCCTGGAAACGTGCTCGGTTCCAGTGATACTGATATTAACTCTGAATGGTATCGATGCTGTGAAGCTCTGCTTCTGGCTTTCTACCACGGTTATCTTTCTTTGCCTGTCTCTAATGTTTTGTTGCTATGCTATTCTCTATTTTAAAACCAAACAATCAGGTATATGGGAGGGCATCTGCTCCAGAGCCAGCGTAACGTTCTTAATGCACAACACTGTATTATTTTTCTACTTCTTTCCACTCTTGGCCCTTTTTGTAGAATCTTTCTTGTGCATTAACATTGTCGTCAGACTGCAGACAGGAATCTGGGTCTCCCTGATAGTCTGCAATGTCCTGATGATTCTGCCTAAAGTTTTGTTTCCTTTTCTGTATGGACTTCGATACAGAGAGATCTCAGCATCTCTCAGATCCATTGTCAGGAGGAAGCACCTTCGCCAAGTGTCGCCTGCTCCATCACCATCCTGAGCCAACGCAGAGCACAGCCACAGCAGAGGAGTGGTCCTTACCCTGTTAGCATGCAAGCCTGATGGAAACCACTCAGCTTCTGAAGAACTGAACTGAAGAAGAAGTGGTGAGCCCATGTCAGGGAAGATATGGGTTGATCACTCCATCTCCTTGGTGCTGGAAGACCACAGAACTTTCGTCACATCAGAGCCAGGGATACAGCGAGTGCTACCCTGGACGGAGTTCTTTGCTTTGATCTGATGTGTCAGGGCAATATCTTTTGGGTGAGATATTGAGTCAAGATCGTTTTCACTCACCTGTGGCAGATGCCTTTCTGGAAAATAGAAAATGAAAAGTAGATGGTGCAAAGCGAAGGGGTTAACCACAGGTCTCTTGACAGCATCACCTACAGCACAGAGGATCCTCAACTAAACGTGCTGTGAACATAACAGCTATTTCTTTCACTCATGGTGTGTTCTTGCAAGGTTGGTAGCCGGTGTCCTGTTCTTTAGCACATACATTGGCAGGTGCTTCTGGAAATTGCTGTGCACAGTGAAACTCTCTCCTTCATTTGTGCCATGTGCTGGCATACCAGCCGCCTTATTGATTCTGTCTGACAACGTGCAAAACACTGAACTTTTATAAAATCCCAGTCTGATGGGAAGTGATCTTTGATCAGTGTCTGTTGGGCAGCCCAGCACATGATGCTGTCAGGGAGCAGCAGAGATGGATGTGCTGATCAGGGAGGGCAAACAAGGGGGAGCAGCGGGTGGCAGTGCCTCCCTGCAGGGCGCAGTCCCGCTGTGCGTGTGCCGGCTGAGCAGAGCAGAGGGCAGCAGGGAGCCTGGGTCAGCCCAGAGCCCCATTCCCTGCTGGGTCCGTACCGATGCCACCAGGCCAAGGCTGAGCCCAGGAGCTGGGGCAGCAGGGCAGGAGCAGTGAGGTGCCAGGCTGGCGTACCCACACAATGGCTTAGACTTGACCTGGGGTGAGAGACCAAGTGTAAACGCTGGTCCTGAGTCCCTGCCGAGGCGCTGCTCAGGTCTGTCTCACACAGATCTTCTCCAGCAACCTGATCCCAGGTTAAGGCTGCTCCATGTCTGAGCTGATGTTGGGCACTTGCCATCAAACCTCTAGGAAGGTCAGAAGGAGAGACTCCAGAGCCTGTTGATGTACTCAGGGCAAGATGATACCTTGCAAAAATCTTTTAGCTTTTCTAGATCACTTGTCTACCTACAAAGAAAGAGTGAAACTTCTTTCTAACCTTTAAAAAAACCAAATTTTCATTAGACACAAACGTCAATGTGGGAAACTTCAGTTGCAGTGCTGTTCCTTGGACTTGAGAAAAGAGCTTTTGTATTTCAAAAAATAATACTTTTAGAATATGTTACTTTTATACCAAACTACATTGGACTTAAAACAAAAGGCATTAGAAAACGGCCCTTGATTTCTCTCTGTGCGATACTTTGCCTGTGTGCAGGCTCTCTCCGCCTTCTGTTTGTTTAAAGCAATACACAGAATGTGCTGAACGTGGCTTTTGGCTATTTCACACTCATCTGAAGAATTCCGCTAAGCATGCGCCAGGAGGGGATGGATGTCTGGTTGCGTGAGATGGTTTTTTGGCAGTGAAACCTATTTGAGAGGTTGCTGCTTATTTCTGTCTCTCCTCATTCCTAACCTGCTTGTTAACTCTCCTCACACTGGAGTGTCTGCTCTCTCCACTTTGCTGATCCAACTGCTTCTGGGGTTGCAGGTTAAAAATATCCCTGCAGAGAGAAGCAGAGTTGTGTTCATTTTAACCGAGGTTATCCCAGAGGTCTGTTTGAGAGCATGGTCTGCAAACAGCTGTGTCAGCGCAATTGAGGGGGTACCAGATTTCGGTTCAGAGGTGGGAATGAGCAAGGACATCTTAGAGGCTTTGCTGTTAAGGGACTCTTCTTGGGTAAGAGTGTCTTTAAGCTAACATTGTTTCAGAATAAACTGTATTATTGCATATTTGCTTTAACCATGGTTCTGTGCTTCCCCTATTTTGACCTACAAAGAACATTAAATTCCTAAGTGATTGCTTTGTTTTCCAGAAAAAAAGAGAAATCCTCAGTCCTCTTCAATAAAAACAATAGGACCTGAAATTGCTTTTTACTGGCTGCTTTTATTTTTCTCCCAGATAAACGTACCGCAGGCATTCATCACACGAGCTGTGTTTGTATCGACACTTTCTATTCAACCTACAACAGGGCTCTTCTGTAACAGGAGGGAGGGTGGGGAAAATGCCTGTATCCTAAATCAGGTCCTTTCTGCTAAATCCTTTTAGCATGTGGTACGACCAAGCATGGAAGAGGTGCCGGTAACTCCCCAGGCCACTCGTATCCTGGGCCAAATCTTTATGCCAGTGCCCCTTGGCAAAGATACTGATAATTTACGGGTTGTTTTGTCCATGTCTTTCAAGTTTTATTACCTGAAGTTTACCTATATTATAAATTTTCCTGCTAAGTAGTAAAGATAACTGTGTAAATAGTATAAAGTAAGGTAGTTCTACACACAGGTGAACAGTGTTTGATCTTCCTGCGAACCTTTGTCAGTTCTGAAGTTAATCTCCAGGACAAACTTGGATAGGATTATACTGCCAATTCTGTAACTCTTTCTTACACACACATCTCCTGGATATATTTAGAGACAACTGCAAGTTTGGTGACATAAAGGACACTGAAAGGAGAAGGAAGTGAATTGGTGATCACGGCAAGTTTGTGTGTGTATGAAATCTATTTAAAGTAATATCATAATGACCAGGCAAATGAAACACTGCCTTCTGGAAATGACCTTCCAAGAAAGATGGAAAAAATCTTATTCATGGCCTTGAAATTGTTCCCTAAAATGGGTGTTTGCCTAAGAAAGATTTTAGTTGAACTGAAATTAGTCAAGTTGAACAGAATTCTGAAAAGGTCATACCCATTGCAAGCTGATGATATTTTATTAATCACTTTAAGGGGGTTCATAGAGTCACAGAATGGTTTGGGTTGGAAGGGACCTCAAAGCTCATCCAGTCCAACCCCACCATGGGCAGGGACACCTCCACCAGCCCAGGTTGCCCAAAGCCCCGTCCAGCCTGGCCTTGAACACCTCCAGGGAGGGGGCACCCACAGCTTCTCTGGGCAACCTGGGCCAGTGTCTCACCACCTCACAGCAAAGAATTTCCTCCTAATAACCAGTCTAAACCTGCCCTCTTCCAGTTTAAAACCATTCCCCCTTGTTCTGTCACTACCTGCCCTTGTAAAAAGTCCCTCCCCAGCTTTCTTGTAACGTTAGATAGGTGAGTTTTTCTTAAGTGTCTGCTTGTAGACAACTTCCCATGGACTATCACTGTGCTGTTTGGTACAAAAGCAGTATGTTACAGCGTGCGTAGAGGAAACACACTGGATCATTTGCCTTTTGGGATTTCCCAAATCTGTCTGAATAGGACCGAAGGATTCACCAGGGCAACATCACAAGCACTAGGTTCCTGTAATTTTCATAAACGTCTTAAGTTTTGTCTTAGCGATTGCTAGGCTTCTTTCTTTGCCAGAACCTCATGGCTGTAATGCTTAGCAACCTTGTAAGGATGTCTCCAGATAAGCTCTGGAAATTCAAACTGAGACTATTTACCAGAGCCCAGCTATCGACCTCTCTGAGGTCACCTAAGTGAACTTCTTGGATATCACTGTGCCTGCCCAGCATTTTAATTTAAAGTGAAATGGAGAGCAGTTGACTTCAACATGTGATTTGGCAGTTGGGGGCAGTAATCCTTTTAATAAATTGCAATAGCATGAATCACTAAAGGTATTCTAATTTATAGTCTAAATATATTCCTGGTCACTTTTTCCCCTCTTTTCTTGTGCCAGCGTTGTCACTTTGCTCACCACAGCTCTGTCCCCTCTCTCAGTTGGACTGACAGTGCAGTTGCAACCTGCAGACTGAAGGGAGTCAGACCTCATTCCAGGGGCTGGGGCTGTGCCATGCAGCACTGGAGAGGTAAATAAATCCGGGGTTAGGTCTGTGCCTCAGATGAGATCGGTTTCAGTGTCATGAGATACCGAGAAGCTCCAGGCAGCTAAACAAGAACATGGCTTTGGATTTGAGGTTTAGTTCCTCTGCAACGATTCAAGTAATTATTCCGTAAAACTAATTAACCTCCTGCAGTTTTAGTAATTAATATCACAGTGTCTACTCCTGCTCCAGCAGTCGGCTGTGTCATTTTCTGAGGGAAGTTTAATATAGTAGTAGGTCAGAAGGAAACTGCTGTTTGCCTGGTTGCACTTGAGACAGCCCCAAAAACCCCGGGGCTGGGGAACAGCACCGGTTGCCCCTGAGAGAGGTCACGCAGCTCCCACAGGGAGTCACTGGCCCTTTGCTTCCCTAGCTGCTGTTTCTGTACACCGAGATACCGCGTGTCCTTTGAATTGAAACTGTGATCGTGGCCGCTGTCTGCGGGAGGTGGGCATGTACGGCAGATGAGAGGGAGCTCGTGAGAGGAAAAGGAAATTACAAGTTGCCTTGAAACTTTATTTCTGCTGTCTCCACCTCACTGCTGGTAGCTGAGGGCACAGCACTGCTGGTTCTGTCTGGTTTTTTCACAAGCCTCGTGATTTCTGGCATCTTCATAAACCGACTGATCTTGAATGTTTTTGTTTCTCACTAACAGTCCTTCAGATTGCAACATGAATCTGTAAGGTACAAAGAGCAGGGAGACAAATAAAACCTCTTCGTGAACTGCTGTTAAAACATCAGAGTTTTCGAGAGACAAGAGAGGGAACGGAGCCAAGCTGGGGCTCTGCTGTCTTGTGTTTGTCAGTAAGGGATGGTCTGGCTTGTGCTTGCCCAAGGTCTGGAGGTGTGGCTGGGGAACCGCCACAGGAGAGACAAGAAGCTGTTTTCTGTCTCTGATATGCAGAGCTAAGAACTTGTATTTGGAAGTTTATTTGGACAACTTTAAAATCACCAACAAACTCCTGAGGGCTACTGGTTTTTAGAATGATTCCCAGGAGAAAGAACTGGTCGGCTTTAACAACTGCTATCATTAGTTTGGCAACAAGTGAAGATACAGAAACACAGCTCCTCAAGGGGAAAGGAAAACACCCCCATCCATCCACCATCTCTGTCCCTGTAGACCGGCCGGTACTGCCAGCCAAATCAAAGGGGGTAACTGTTCACAAAAAGCTTTTGAAGTCAAATACTCTTCTTAGAGGGCATCTCTTCGTGTCCTCTGAAAAGCAGAGCAGGATGAGACAGTCTGGGCCAGCATGTAAGTGTGAGAAATGCTGCACTCTGCAGAATGACAGCAGCGTAAGGAAGGAAGGGGACCAGTTTGAAAACTAGTGGGAAAATTAGAGTAAGAAAATGTGGGGATTGGCTGGAATTCCAGAGGGGAGTTTCAAGGTATGGGTCAAACTGCAGAAGAGAGGATTTCTTGCGCTCTTTCAGAGGGAAGGACCCGGTGGAGACCTGCTGGGGGACCCTGCTCAGCTGCGCTACTGCGGCAGTCACCAGTTCAGGTGAGCACCGTACCACCGAGCACTCTGGTGTTAGTGTGCTGAAATTCAGGAACTCACATTTTTTCCTCAGCCCAACATGAGAGAAATATTATTTTCAATACTGTATAAGGCAAAAGGAGACATTGCAGAGAGGGAGAGAGCCTGGAAGGAGTCACTGCTCTCTGCTTGGACGGATTTGTTTTGCACAGTGTGTTTTCTGCCTTGATTTAATGGTGAGTTGGCTCTTTCCAGCAACTAGGCAGGGGAGGAGGGACGGGAATATGTTCCCAGCCTTTGGCCAAGAGCGTCCCAGAGCGTCCCGGGCGTGACCCCCTTCAATGTTTGTTTTTGTTTCTCTACAACTGACCCAGATACTGGGACCGGAGACTCGGGCCCTCCTGGCCTCTTGAACACCTGCCCCTTCTGGAACAGCGTGTGATGGTCCCAGGAACCGGGCTGGGAACAGTACCTGGAAGTGTTTTTCTCTCGGCCAGGCTGTTCTGTCCGTTTGCATTCCAGGAAATCAAAACCCGGGAGAAAAATTTTGGGAGAGCACTGCCACCCAGTGGGGATGGAGGCAGGGATGCGCACCGGAGGCACCCTCCTCTACAGCAACAGCGAGGGGAAAAAGTCCTTCAGGCAGAACAGCAAACCACCCAAGAACAGAACGGAAAGGAAAGTAGGTTTTGGGCTGCTTTATTCGAAAACAGCTACAATGAATGTTCAGTGGAACCAGATTAGCGTTCATTTGTATTTGCAGCCTATGCAGTCTCTTTCTTGGGAATGACAGCAAGGTTTGCAAACTGAAATGGGTTTTTTTTGGTCACGCAGAACTGAAAAACTAACAAAGTGTCTTCAAGCAAACACACAAACAAACAAACCAGATTTAACTTAAACTAATGTGCCAACCGCTGGAAAAAAAAACCATAGCTTCGGAGGAAACTACATTACATTTCACCAAAGGTAAAAATCTTTCATTCCAAAAAGCATCTTCTCTTTTTCACTAGTAGGTGCTGCAAATCCAACTTAACACAATAAATAGTTGAGCAAACTTCAGGACCAGTTCAAGCACTTTTCAGGGCAAACAGAGCTGGGAACTAAATTTCCCACCACGCGTTTCTTTGCCTGATTGGAGGTATTGTGTTGGCAGGAGTAAACTACAGCTGGTCCCTTTGTTTCTCTGTGGAGGGAAGGAATTAAGATAATTTAAGGATATACTGTACAGAGGAAATGCAAGGGCTGAGCATATATACAGATACTCCCCAGAGGACCCTAGTGGCGGTATTTCCATCCATTGCTACCTGCAGCTACAAATCAGCGCCATCGCAGTCTGTGCCACAGGGACACCGAGGTACTGCTTTTCTTTGTAGTTCTCCTGGGGTCAGACAGAAACCGCCCCGGGCACAATCCGACGGATGTGTGTGTAAGACTTCCTGAGGGTAACGCTCCCGTGATGAGACACCCCCCGAGGCAGGACACACTCCTCCGTCAGCTTCTGAGTTTCAGGGTCCCAGCACAGCACTGTCGCAATGACTTCGTTCTTTTCGTCTCGGCCCCCGGTGATAAACAGCTTGTTGTTGCAAGGAGAAATCCCACAGCTGGCTCTCTCGTGGGTGAACTGAGTCACCAGGCACCATGTGTCTTCCTCGGGGCTGTAGGAGTAGAGTGCTTTCATTGCCCCACCTGGGGAGGAAATGGATATCAGTTTGTGCCAGCCATTCCTGTAAGAGATTTTAACCAAACCACCCACTTCAGCGAGGCTCCATTCCTGACATTTATAAGAGTGATTTATGCCCCAAAGCTAAGAAAAAACAGTCACGGGATACTTTATTGTTTTGAAAGCCAGGTCTGCAGAAGGCCACTTGTAAACTAAGACTGTGGAATTCAAGGCCAGAACAAACTGCCATGGTCACACAGTGCGACCACAGTGCACCCAGCAACAAACCTTTCTCGTACCAACTGCTTCAGCTGAGGACACAACTTTAGAAAAATATGGTCTTGTTTAGAAGAGCTTAGATCATGAAGGACTAGGTGTGGTAAGCTGTCACTGGTAGAAATGGATACCATTTCTTCACTGACTCCTCTAACTTCAGTGTCCATCTGCCCATTAAACCTCCTTCTGCTGGGGCCTGGCTATTTTCAAAAGCCCATTCCTCATTTAAGGGGTTTGTCAGACTGCACTCATAATCTTCTTATGGGTAAGCTGAACAAAGAGTGACCTTTAGTCTCTCCATGTTTCACAAATCTGCAGTGATTCTTGAAACTTTCTCTGCACTTTTTCCAATTTTGCCGAGTTCTTTTCTTTCAGAAAATGGTCAATACCTCAGTACCCAAGAAGGGCTATGAAATATATTCCCTCCTGAGAATACCAACAGCTGAATGGTTCTTATTCTGAGGTTTGCAAAGATTGGGTCTGTATTCAACTATATGAAACCTGTTGGCAAAGTGAACATTTATCTATTGCAGTTACAATAAATACTGGTTTTGACAACACTAATCCAGTATTTCAGGGATGGTCAAGCTGCTATGAGGTGACTTAAACAAGTTTTATTTCCCAATGGGAGCAGACTGAAAACATCCACGTTAGTTGCAGTGATTCACCTGGCAGTTGATAATTCATCAGTCTGGGTAATTCGATTGCTTTGGATGCAGTAGCCAAATGCTCTTTTATCTTTTAAACCTCAGGTGGGGCTGATTGAGCCAGATTTGTTTCTCAGATAGGGAGACAATAGTTTACTGGTGAAAGATGCTAAATCAACGTAAGTGGAGTATCACGTCAAATTTTATCAGGAGTTGTACCAGCTGGCCCATACGTCATGCCTTCGCTTTCTGTCTCTCATCTGTTAGAAAGAGGGTGGTGTCAGTCCCTGTGCTGAGGAGAAGCACAAGGTATTTACATACACAGAAGGTGCACACATACACACATATATATGTATATGTTTATGTATGTATGTGCACACACATGCACATTATAAATCTCCTTTCAGAGCACTATTGACTGTTTGGTGACCCTGTGGCTCTATGCCAGCCCTCAGCACCATATTGATCATACTTCAGATGAGTAACCTTCTGTGCCAGGGCTGGTGGGGGAACACTCATCAGAGCTCCTGTTTTGGAAACTCACGTTCCTCTTTTCTTCTTCTGGTTTTTCCAGCACCATCTGGAGATGTGGACAGGCTCCTTCCTCCCTTCACAGTTCAGCTTACCACCATTAAACTCCTGTTCTTCCATCTTTGCTTCCAGTTCTGTCGATTGACTGAATTAACCCCAAGTGTGATCTAGTGAGGAGGTCTGCATCTTGGGGTATCCGTGGCTCTGTTCCCCTGACCTGCTCTCAGTACTCATATCCCTACACAAATATAGCCTGAGTGCAGTGGGCTGTGTAATGACTCTGGAGAGGAGAGGGAACATGGTGTAGCCATAATGTCATGCCTTTGCCTCTATGAACCAACCTTTGGTTGGCTTTAAGTTGTCTCTGGGCTAGCTCCAGCTTTCCAAGACACCTAACACACTAACAGGGAGTTTCACCTGGTGACTCTTCACTACTCTTTGTGAACGTGCTGGGTTCCCATCCCTCACTAAGCTCAATGGGAAGAGCCATCTGACCACTTGATTATACTCCATAGAGTTTTTGGGTAAAACTAACACCCAGAAACAAGCCCAGCTGGAACATGAATGCTTCACCTACCCACAACATAAATGTGATCACGGAAGCTTGCAGCATTGATGCATTTGGCTTCTACTGGCATGGAGGCTTTCAGGCTCCACATGTTGGTCGCGGGGTCGTAGCACTGAGTCTTGTCCGTGGCCAGCTTCCCGTTGGGTCCTCCTCCGATCACGTAGAGTTTCTTCTTGTAGCTCGCTGCTGCAAAGGAGCTTACATTGATCATGAGGGGAGCAGCCTGTGTGACCGTAAAAAATCGTCAGTAACCAGTTTGATTTCCAGTAGTCAGACTGGTGCCTATGGGGTAGGAGCCTGTGGGTTAAGTCAGACATCCCTTTTAAGATGACCAGTAAGGTTCAGAAGATAACATTTCCAGGGAGAAGTCTGTTTCAGCTTTTTCTTAAGACTCTAAACCTCTTAATAAAAATATGCTCTGTTCAAATGCTGTTACTAAGTTACAATTCAAAAGATAGCAAATAGCAGAAATGCCCCAAATCTCCTTTACATACTTATGTACATTGAAATAAACACAATAAACTTTCTACTTGTAATTGTGGTTGTTAGAGTCCTCTGCATTGCTTTGTAGTATCTGAAAACTAGGGTTTGTATCTGCCGTTATGATGCCTGATCTCATTAATTCATTGGATTAATTGGCTTCCTAATACTCTCCTCATTGCTTGAAGTACAATTAGCAGAACTAGGGTTTTTTCTATTATTTCTACCTTGAAACCTGTACTTTCAACTTAAATGTACATCCATACTGTATATAATGCACAGCTTGATACACACATTATATCTATATTACGTATCAGAGCAGTAGTTTTCAGCCTTGCTTTGGTTCATATATACTATGTTCTTACTTATTTATGGACTACTACCTTTAAAATCCAACTAAGGAAAGGAAAGTTAGGCATTAGATGTCTCACAGGCAATGATGAGTAGGCAACCCTGTGATTTTTACTTTCTGAAGGATATTCATTTCTATTGAAAAAAATATTTAGGGTTTTCACAAACCAGAAACACTTAAAATAATTGTAGCGGATCATATCCCGTTCATTTTTACCACTCAAAGCCCCAACATTTTCTGATTAAAATGTTCCAAACAAGTAAAATGTTACGTGATGCAGCGTCTTACCTCTGACCAGCAGTTATGGAAGGGATCGTACGCCTCCATGCTGTTGATTCTCTGCACGCCATCGAACCCTCCAATGACATACACTTTGCCCCCCAGCACAGCCATTTTATGCCTCCATCGCCCGATATTCAGATACTCAATTTGTATCCATTTGTTGATGGAGGCGTTGTATTTCCAGACATCGTGTTTTGTTTCCTTGCCACCTGCGGCGTACATGACACGTGTAAATACGATAGCATAGCTTGGATTTACTCAAAATCTCCAATAGGTTTAAATTTTATAATACCCTCTCACAATAGAAAATAAATAATTGGTCCTTGTTATTAATTACTTACACCAGTGGCCTGGCCCTGTTATACAGGAAGAAAATATCTGCATTTAGCTTACTTAATAGTAAAGGAAACTCTGAGCAATTTCTACAGCTATATATTAATATTAAAGATAAATCACTGTTCCCCACTTGACCAGACCACAACCACTTTCCTTTTAGTACTGAGTGAATGACCACCACACATCATGGTGATACGCAGGTGATTTTTGTGCACCACCAGAGCTTTGCAGGCTGCTGGATAGTGACAAATAAGCAAACGTGATTTAAATAAGACAGAGGAGGATGCTGCCATTGGTAATGCCAAATCCCTGGAAGACAGGGCTGCGCTGGGGAGCTGCCAGTTTGTGCAGGGCAGACCCAGTCACCTGGCCTAGTGCTTTACATCGTACAACAAAAGACCTGACTCTGAACTCTACCAACATGTTAGAAGTTTTACTCTGCCACCTTGGGACCATATGACTGGGATCTCATTTTTCTACATGCCCTTCTCATTTCTTTCTCTGCTGACTTGGATTTGCTTCGTATTTATAGATCGAAGATCAGCATTGGACCCTGCAAACTCATTCTAGGGCTAACTTGCAAGCGAATCTTTACTCGTGCTAAAGTGGAGAGCAGTGTTTTAAACAAGCACTTTTGTTTGCGTCTGATGTTCGGTGTAACTGCAATACCAATGGAACTGGTTAAGCCTGAACCCGCATTTGCAGACTTAGTAGCTTATGCCATCATCTGCATTTGCTTCACTGGTGAATATACTGAAAAGAGAATTCATATTCCATTGAGAAAGTGTCTGCCTTCGTTGGCATTCTGTACTGCAGCCAGATCACTGCAAAGTGATGGAGCTCATCTCTGGGCCAAAGAGCAGATTGAATAGGAGATAATTAGCATGCTAGAAAGAGTTGTTTGTAATGCTTTCGTCGCAGAATTTTTCACATGTGCGCATTGAAATTGTTTTGCACTCAGCTAGCTGAAGTGGCTGAAGGGCCTGAATGTGGCATTCGTGGTTACAGTGGGGCTTAGAGGCTGCAGGTGTTCCCCGTACCCTCCCTTGAAACGTCCCTTTTGCGTGAGCTGCTGCTTTCCCGCACAGGCTGAAACTGTGGTCGGAGCCTGAGCTGGACCAGGAGGGTGAATTTGCTGCACATCACAGGCAGGGAGAGATTTCTGAGAGAACTGGAGGCTTATTTTGTTTCTGATCTTTCTCTAGACCACACTTCTTTCTGATCTGAGGAAATACCGTAACTTAGTCGAAGTAATGGAATGGCGAGTGGTAATTCATGTCATTTCTAGCTACACTACAAATGTGGGTTTTCAGTCTATCCAGTCAAAGCGTTTAAACTGTTCAGGGAAATGACGATCTAAAAGCAGTCATAATCTTGTGCAAAGAGTTTTCCTATTTTTCAGATGCTAAAAGGGCAGGAAAGACTCCAAACTATACCCAGATACCAAGGGGCAAGAGTGCATGGGAGGGGAGGCCAAGTTAGGGAAGAACCAAGCCACAGGAGCTAAAAGAAAGAAAACAAGAGGAGAAGGACACGTAGGAGGAGGCAGATACTTCATTGGGATTAAGCCACTAATAATTTGGTTTAGCTGGAAAGAAACTACTGACTTTGGTCCACTCAGCCCTTTATTTGGGTGGGAAGGGTGAAAAGCAGATAGGAGAAAGGCTAAGAGGGAATGGAAGAAAAGAGTCAAAGATATGAAGTTAATGGATGAAATTAAGCAGAGAAGGAAGAAAGAGGACCTGTGAGAACAGCAGCAAGAGGAAAGCTGGCTTGGGCTCACCACAGCAGGGGAGGTGTCAGTCTGGCCTGGAGGTAGCCTGGATAGAGCTGGAAAGAAAAGGAGAGAAGAGACATGGGAAAAGATGTCGAGATCAAGAGGAAGTGAAAAGCCTGTGACCTTGAAAGAGAGGAAAGGGTAAGAGATTAAAGGCAAATGGAAAAGAGACCTCTCAACTCCTGGGTACGAAGGTTTGAGGGATGTTCTCCAGTCAAGATGCTTGACCTCGGTTCTCCGCTACAGCTAACTTTTATCAGAGGGTAAAAAGAAACCCCCTATGGTAAGTGAACATAGAGTTTGGTGGATGATTTTGTGGGAAAAAATGTCCTAACCCATGGTGGCACCGTTCTGTATTGTGGTCTGTAACGTGACAGTGATTGTGAGCTTGCTATGCCTGTTCCTTTGGAAAGCAGAGCAAGATCATCACACTTGTTTTTGACAGGCCATCAAAACCAGCCATCAAACTGCTTAGCAAGTTTGAGTTTAACCTTTTGATTATCAAAGTAGTTGATATTTATATTGATATTATTGACACAAATTCTCCGTAGCTCCAGGATCAAACCCCTACATGGAGCTCAGCTGTATTTGTGTGAGAAGCTAAATGTGCCTCCTGAAGCTCTCAGGATGAGGGCCTGCCAATGGTGTGTTCAGACCCGTGCTGTGTGTCTGGACCATTGGCTTTCATCTGGCTTTGGCAGTTAAAATTGCCATTAGCAACTGGGCACTCCTGGGGTCCTGTCTGATCCACTCTTTAAGTGCAGTTTTCAGGTAGCAGCCAAGCAGTGGGGACAATTCCCTGCAGGTTCTTGACTGATCCTTGCAGAATGAGTCCAATTCTGGCAGGATTTTGCTTATGCACATGGAGCTGCAAATGGACTTCTTACAAGAAGGTGCTGGGGCAATTATTCTTCATTTTATGTTTGGTAAACTGTTCTCAGGGGCCTTTCCATGACCATTAGGGTGCTGCACACAAGTAGCCACGCACATAGATTAATACTGTTTGAGAAGGGATCCTGTGCTAAAAGCAGGGCTAGGCAGTGTCCTTGCACCCAGCACTTCTCTGGAGCCTGTTCAAAGTCAAAGCAGCAGGAGTACCTGTGTGCTTAATTCTCCAACAGCTGCCTCGAGCAAAGTTTTCAATAAAAGTTGGAAAAAATCGCAAGAACCCTCTGCTCCCCCCTTCCACTCCCAATGTCTTGTTCCTTACCTGATATGTAGACTTCATTCTTTAGCGTAATGCATGCAAACTCCACCCATTTTTTATTCTCAGTCTCTGTCTCCTGCTCTGTGATTGGTAATTTTGCTACTTCCAGGCGGCTTCGCCTCAAAGGATCCAAGCAAGTCACTTCTGCTACAAACTTCTCATCTTTTGTACATCCCCCTATGATCATGAACACCTCGGACTGGAACTCGTGCATCCTGGGCTTGGTTCTTTCTGTAATAATCTAGACGCAAGCAAGACAGAGTGAGCACACAGGGCACTTACACCTACAATTACAGAAAGGTCTGGTGACTTTTTTTCTGATTACCTGTTTTGCACATCACAACTGGCTTACATCAGCTGAACCAATTATCAAATGTTCTCTAAGCTGGCAGCCTGGAAAGCATCAGGCAAGCATTCAGCAGAGGCTGCTGTATCCTTCTTTTAGCAGGATCTCTCCAAAATTGGACTCAGTTGCTTTTGCCCACCCGCTAGGATCCTTTCATGTCCTCTTAGGAATTCCAGGGGTGGCACTGAGAGCTATGAAGGTGAGCACCAGTGACAAGGCTGGGCGAGTGTGAGACAGCTGGAAATGACAGATTTTATTTGGGCTGACAGAGTGAGGGCAAGGTAGGAGGGCTCCAAGGTTTATGTATACCCTGGGGAGCTTAGAGAGAGCAAGACTGTAGTTAGCAGTAGCAGAAAATAAGTGCTCTCATCATTTGTCCTGAGGAGATGTGTTAAAGTGTCACAGCAATAACAATTCTTAACTGTGTTGAGTTTTTTTCAATTAGTTGCTTTGTTTATAAACCTTCATTTTAAGCCAAACTTAGAAGATTTACTTAAAGCCAGCACCAGGCTTTGAAACGTGGTCAGCTTTAATTTACTTCCTGTTGGCTTAGTTTAGTGACCAGGTCTTTGTTTCAGGGCCGCTGGGAAAAGTCACTTCCAGGGCAGATGTTCACCAGGAGCAAAGAATGCAGGGGATGCTTGGAAACTTGCGTTCTGCTTGGAGAAAATACGTGTAAGCATGTGGAAATGAGTGCATTAGGGTCCCAAGGTGTGCTGGCTCTATGCTGAAGGGTAGAGGGAATAACCTTCTCTATCCTCTCCCTCCCACCCAATTTTTCCCACTGGGAACAAGGCATGGGGAGCACATAAAGTTGTTCCTCTGCTTATGCTTTATCACAGGGCATTTGCCAATTCGCAGTCCCTCACAATCTGCAGGGCGAGGTCTGCACTCCTCTGCAGTGACTGCAGTCGTTACCTTCTGCATGCCCCAGAGAAGCAGTGCGTGGACCCACAGGTTAAATGCTGTTACAGTAGACAGCTTGCTTACAGTTTTACTTCTCTTTCTACTATTAATGTGTTTCTATAAATTGGCATTATTTATCTATATATAAAAAATTATCTACACAGACATAAATCTTGTCTTTTCCCTGCACTTAGCAAATTATTAGGCAATTTTTTGTTAAAAACATCTGTCCCAGAGCTTGCCAGCTTTCAGAATTCTGTTTGTAACCTGTCTGCTGCCATCGCCATGCGTCAGCCCTGGGGCAGATAGCTGGCTCTGGCGGCTGCCCCTTTGAAGATGAGAGCGATGAGTGTTCAACCCTGAGCAATGCTCCCTTCGTCTGGCCCGCGTGGACCTGACAGCACCGCTGAGCAGGGCAAGGCTTCCTCGAGGAGTTCCCACCAGCCGGCCCAGCACTGCCCCGGGTCATCGCGTGCCGTCTTACGCAGTCCCTGGCACAGACAGCCCTTGGTGTCTCCCCTCCTGTCGGTGACTCACATCCACAGTGGATGCACAACGTGCTCCTGAGGCCTCTTGCCTTCCTCTGACTCTGACCGAGGAGGCACACACGTTTCCTCACACACCTTTGCTCCTGTTGTGAAACCTGACCTCTGGTTGCTCTCCCCTCTGCCCCGTATTTTGGGCCAGGAGTTGTGACTGATACCTAACTTTCCAAAGAGGATGGATGGGCAATTGAGGAACTGGAGATCCACCACCTTCTGCAGGCAAGACAGGGCTTGGCTGGGTGTCAGGATGAACCTGTCTCTTTGAGTGCAGATGAGGAAGATAGGCAGAGAGACCGTCTTCTTCACGGTCTTCTCTTCCTGAAACATTTCCACCCGTAAGTAACAGATGGAGATGTTACATATTCAGATTTGAAAGAGCCATTACAGATTGTGGCGCAGTTTAGTGGGGAAATTATTCTGCCTTTCTTAGGAAAATCCTAGCTAAGAGGGTGAGGTGTCAGGAATAACACCATTTGTCTTTTGACTAGGGAAGTCACCTGGGGTCTTTGTTTAGCTGTGCAAGTGTGTGTGTGAAGGGTCAGCTTTGGATGTTGATAAACAGGAAGCTGTACGATGTGTTTTAAAACAACCTACCGAAAGCTTCTGAACTCTCTAAACCGGCAGGATAACTGGTGAGGTCCACCTTGACTCTTCAGTAGCACCAGTTAGTGAAACCTCAGTGTGAGTACCTTCTTCTGCCTCATGGTACTGCTCCTTCCGATGGGATTTTTGAGCAGAACTATGAGAAATTTAGAAAGAGCAGCAAATATTTTTCATTTTCACTCACCTCATTGCCTGACAGATGGTACATTCTTGCTTCCTGGAGCAAAGGAAAGACATCTGGACACTGTCTAATGAGTTGATCGGCTTCAACAGTCTCTACGAAATACCAGGGGTCCAAGAGGGGCAGCCGGACGTTCTCCAGCACATTCGGCAGCAGAGGAAACCTTTCCGACTCCTTGTAACGAACCCAGTTCATTACAGTTTCGAACACCTGGGCCTCTTCCGTGACGTAGAGGTCGTCGCTCTTCAGCGTGCTGCAGAGGATGTCGGCCGGCAGCTCCAGGAACTCCTCGTAGTTCAGGACCTGGGTGAAGTTCTGGATGATGTAGTTCTGCACTTGTTGTTTCAGGCTGTGCAGGGAGTGGGCATCAGCCAGCCTCAGGATGCCAACACAGTTCTCTGGCTGCAGGGCTTCGGTGAGAAAACTGGCACAAGCATCTACCATGCGGAGGAACTACGGGCAGAAAAAGCTTGTGTAAGCACAGAGTGGTAACCTGTACGGCTGTGTCACTGGACAGCTATGGAGCTCTGGGGCAGGGTCCCAACCAGCAATGGTACAGCAAAAAGCTTGGGGAGACAAGAAATCAGCCATACAAGAACAGAGATCTCCCAGAATCTGCAGCCTGACATTATAATTCCTTCCTCCCACTTTTCTCCCTCTACATCCACATTGCTCATTTTCCCCCTTGCAGGACACAGCAGACCTGTGACAGTCGTGAATTTTGTTTGCTTCACAAAAGCAGAAGGTGTTCTGCCATTCCTCTTCCCTTCACGAGATCTCAAAGCACTAGCAAGTGTGGAGTTACAAAGCCCAGATAAGGTCCCTAGGCTTCAAATGTGCTTACTCTGCTTCGTCTTGTTTGTCAGCTCAGATCAACTTAGAAGGGAGCCTGGTTTTGGAGTGCAGGTGGCTCCACTATCTGCATTTATGCTCCCACCATCCAAACTCTGAATGTGTCTGAGGCCTCGCAAGGGAGGTGGAAAATGAGTGCTGGGGTCTGGGAGGTTTGGGCCAAAGTGTGCCCCCACCCCAATGAGTGTATGGGCACGCTGTCCTGTACGGGAGGACGTGGCAGGAAGAGACTGACCACCAGCAGGTCTTTGAGTTGTCTGACTGCAAGCGTCTGTAGTGCAGGAGGCCTAGGAGGTTTTGGTCACCTTTGTTTTCCCCATCATCACCATTGGTTCAAAAAACACACAGATGTGCATTTTACACCTAGACTGCTTCATCAAAGAGCTTACCGTGTTTGCATTCAGTAGTTTGCATTCATCACCACTACTCTCATTCATTTCCTTTGCACAACAGCCCCATCTCAGGGTCCCAAATGTGCAGATCACGGACCACAGATGTCTGCAGGGCATTTTCCATGAACGACGTTGTGAGCTGGGTTGCTAGTGATTATTCAGGATTTGGAAACCAGTTTGGAGTAGAATGGGTAAGTTACAGTTGGGCCTTCTGTTGCCTCTCATTTCGGATATGGATAGGGCATACTTGGTGTTGGGTTTGCCACTGAACAGTGCAAACAGCAACACACAGAACGATGGGTGAGAATTGATGCCGTGCATTTCCGTCCGTGCTTTTTGGGTCCTTTTTCCATCCAGTGTCAGCAAGCAAACCATTTTAACTTGTTCTGTCCCACTGGGGAAAGTTGCACAACAGTAATTTAGGGGCAAAGAGGAAGCGAAACATTTTTAAACACTGTAGTATGTAGATTTGTGTCAGTAATTAGGGTAGAACCTTCCAGACCCGGCAGTGTCGTGTTGACACATTTAGACTGTTTACCAGAGCTGAGCGATCGCAGACGCTGCGTACAGACTACCTGGTTCCTGTTTTACATTTAGATGTGGTCAAGAGTTTAGAGAAATGCAACTGACTGGTGAACAAGGGAGTACAAGGTCTCAGAATATGTTGCTGCCCGTGTGATATAAATATGCCAGCAGCACACTGAGGCACCACGGCAGTGCCTGCCACGCTCCCATTGCCTCTTCTCCAGCCTAGTGCAAGGGTAACTCTTTGAACTCATTGGTGTGTTTCCCTGAGGATCTGAAAGACCTCTGCCAACGTCAAGTAGTCCTCAGACCTAAGGCAGGGTAAGCATTAGCCCTTTAGAAGTTGGCAGGAATGAGATTACCAGTCACAAGCGGTGTTCCCCAGGG